GAGACTGGTTGTATTTTAGCCTTTTCGCGAGTTATAGTCGACGACAATCCCTTGAGGCCTATCACTACTAGGTCACATATGTCCTAAAGTGTAACCAGACTCGGAGAGGCTTTGCACAGTCTTGATAACTTTATACCTGCACGAAGATCCCCGCTGATCAAACTCATGTTGACGTACAAAATGCAGTGTGGCGGTCACTAAAGTCGTGGCGACTAAAGCATTCGTGAAATTTGTTTCTAAATTGGAGGTGTTTACATTATTAGCGGCTGTTAACTTGAACTAGTCGCTCAAAAATACCCCGTAATCATGTTGAAGGTGGTATGTTATAAATCAATTGCACCTAAAAGATCTTTCCATGGTCCAGTAGTGGTATCTCACTGACCAAAAAGCCACATATGCCACGCATCCGTCAAGTCAGTTTTTCAGTACAGCTGTGAATGCTTGTTGCTACGTAATTAAGGTAAGCGAAACTGGGAATCATTGGCCGTTGGTGTCCGCTAAATATCTCATGACATAACATGGGTCAGACTTAACACAACAACATCACGTAGATATTTCGGACTACCTTAGGAAGACGCTTAAGTTATTTGGGCATATTATTTGTCCTGCGGCCAAAGAAAGTTAAAATAAAGTTTGATATATTTCGTCAAGGCGAGGCGGCACTTCGCGGACCCACGTTACTTACTGTTTGCCGCGGGAAAAGAAACTGAATCGATTTTTCCAGGCCTCCTGTCGCTGATGGTCGCACGCGGACAGGTATTAGCAGCAACAACAATGAAGCCAGCTAGATTAGAAACGACCACAACCGTTAGAGATACCGGAATGAACTAAGTAAGAATGATATTTCTGTGGATTTCCTAAGGTGTTCGGTTGAAAATTTTAACCAAAATGTCAACTTATTATTCGGAGGGAATCGTAGACGACTTATTCATTCACTTGCTCTGCCGCTTAACAGCTAGCCATCTGGTCAACAGAGATCCAATAGTAGTACTTATCTGGCAAAAAATATGATTAAAAAAATCATTCCTAGGTTTATAGCGACTTGCAGCATGCGCGCTCCTGCTCCTCCTTGTTAAGTGTTTAGTCGCTATAAAAGATGCGAAAATCAATCATCTTTATTAATTAGTTTGTACGTATTTTGGTTATGTGATATTTTTAGCCTTTCGCAAACATCGTTCCGCTACAACTCAGACAGCTACGATGCCTATTCTCTTCTTTCAGAACTGCACATATACAGCCAGCAACGACTAACACATTTCTGGCATTTAAATTCGCAGACGATACCTACATTTGCGTCACTATTGAACATTCTTCAGCAGGCGGTTTGAACTTCGACCTGTGTCGATAGTTTTGTAGCATTCGATTTTGATCGCTTGGATACTTTGCTCCACACCATAGCTTCCTCCGTTTGCGCCCCTGATCACATTTTGACGGCTCATTGTGTGTTACATTGGCACCAACGTCATCTTGGCTGAGGAACAATGAAGAGTCTGGTAATATCGCTATGTACTCTGGTTGGCTGAACCAGGCACCCCTGTTCGAGAAAGTTTGTCGTGTCGATATATGTGCAGCTGCCCATGGAATCGCACTTACATTTAACACGGCCAGTCAGACAGTCTCCCTTCAGGAAATATTTTGAAGTTCTAAACTCCAGCATTTCTTAGGGTTTTGGACACGAAATGGTTCCGATTTCAAACGCGGTGACGCACTTGAGACGCCTACAAGGCCGGAGGGTTTTATGTGAGCATGTGCGCTCACATTTAGTCGGAGAAGTTCCCACATTTAAATGCTATCACAGGAAAGTGAGGCACCTCAATTTCGACCTGGCAACCTGGCAACCAGGTAAACCTGGCATAGGTTCCTGAATGTAGTCAGATTCTGGGACACGCTGAGTCGAGTAAGCTGTTATAGCAGCCTCGGCCAACTACTGTTCAAAATCTTACTTATCTCTGATGGCAATGTCCTAGGTGCAAAGGTTCTACTGGTCCTGGGTCGGACCAAAGGGTCTAGGGGTCTATTCTTCTACACTCTTTGGTACGACTTAGGACCAGTAGAACCTTTGCACCTAGGACATTGCCATCAGGGTATCGATTAATGTTTTCACCCTATGAAGGGCATTTAACTGCATAAGCTTTGCTCAACGCAGGACCAACAGATAAATGTACAATGATCTATAGTTATCTCTAATTAATGCATATTTCGTCCACAAATAATTTATAAAAGGTTTTTGATACTACGTAATTTTAAAAACAATTCATAATATTTAGTCAGCAAAATAGACACTAATTAATTTATTATGAAAGTAAAAAATGACCCAAAATAAGTGCTTAAATTATGTCTAATAGCACATGACGTACTGACAAAAAATATGTTAACGTATTTTTAATTAAAACGTCACCTGCGCAAAATAGCAACCAACGGACAGACGAAAATAAAAAGTAGCCGGAAAACCATTGCCACAGGCCTGTAGATTAATATTTCACTCAGGAAATTCAGCAATAGTTAATACAGTCATCAATGATCCAGTAGCAAAAGAAGTTGGCTCGTACTTTTAGTTCGTAGTGGTGTTTCTTCACTTTGTATGGATGACCTCTGAAAGGTGGCTTTTTAGTAAGTCAAGAAAATCGGCCGTCTGAAACGCACAATCTACTCTTCCGTTTAGTTTAAAGACCCGAACGGCTTTCTCTGTGACTCAGACAATTGGGCATCGGAAATTTATAAGTCCGTTTTAAAGGTACTTTCCCCAAGAACCACGATGTCTCCTTAAACCACTAATCATTCAAATTATGGAAGTTATGTGGACGTACATAGTCTAAACTTCTACTATTTGGTTGGCTTAAACCATAGTTAAACTTCCACATGGGCTCCTGACTTATAGCAGCCTTTTGGAAGACGGCCAACTACGCTTCCCCCTCCCGCCGCACCCACCCAACGTCAACGACATGCGTCTTCATAGGCTGCTGCTTTTCCACTCACTGACCTGAAGGCCACTTGATGGATATTCCACTCGGACGCATAGTTACGCACACTGGCGCGCGCAGAGGCCTACCAAACTAGTCGTGCGTTCTCAAGTGCCACTTGATCGCGCCCTTCCTCTCCAACGTATGCGACATGAGCCACTACAGGCAACACCTTCTGGCAATGCAGCACCCCAATAGCAAACCACTTGAACTTGTTTCACAACCCTGTAAAAGCAACTGCCGTCATCACCTCACAACACTCTGACACGAAACACACAGTGAGGCATTCTCGGGGATGAATGGAGCCCCGTCTTCACCAGTGGCCACTGCTGTCTGAGACCCTTGGTTACTCTTTCTTGTTACCTTCCACCTGGGATATGGTCTGGCGATTGTAGTCTTCTAGCCACAAAAGACGTGCAAACAAACGTGTACATGGAGAGCGCTCACTTCCACATTAAACTCGGTCGCCTGGTCTTGATCTCTTTTCGTTAAAATGCAGGTGGCTACGAGGTGCCGCGGCACACGACTGGATACAGCAGCAAACATCAGGGAGCAGATATAGGGAAACTCAGCCCTTACATTACCCCTATGCTCAAGAACAAAAACAAAAGAAGGCATTTAATAGGATATCCAGAAAGAAAAAGTAGATATTACGATAGCAGACAAGGGTTTCGTCCAGGACATTCTTGCCATACAAGTGCTTTCTATTTGCATGAGAAGTGGATGAAGTCTACGGATAAGGATTATCCAGCTTACGTCATATTTTGCCAACCCTTCAGAATTTGCGATTGCTTTGTCCGAAACACTTTTCGATTGGAACTGAGCTAGGACACGGTCCCTTGATACATGTCCGTAAATGGTCTCGATGCAGTCGAAGAAGTTATTCATTTCTTTGCGGTTT